ACACCATGCAGTCCTTTTCACAACTACACAATTCTGCTGTCTTAGGCAAAGGCAGCTACAGACAATACATAATTAAATGAATAAAGCCGTGTTCCAATAGAACTTTGTGGACACTGACATTTGAATTTACATCAGATTCATGTGTCATGAATATTATTATTCTCTTAATTTTTTCCCCAACTATTGGAAAATACAAAAACTACCCTTAACTTGTGGGTTATACAAAAATAGGCATCAGGCGAGATCTGGCCTGTGGGCCGTAGTGTGGCAACACCTGGTCTACTGGCAGTGCTAATTCCACAAGGGCTGGGTGACTTTCACTCAGTTACGGTTCAAAGGAAAACTCTCTAAAGATAGTTCTATTTATAAAGTTTTCCCATACAACCATTCAAAACTTTAGCAATCATCGATATGTCCATTATTTTTTACTGCGCGTCTGAAAGGTTGTCCCACTTTGTTAGCTGGCCCACTGAAAACTGTTTTACAATTTCACAGTGACTTTTTCACTTTTCATGAAGAAAAGAGTATATATAAAATAATTTAGTGGTTAGAAGACGAAACCTGAATGAAAGAAGCACGGATTCTGGTCTTGGTTTTGGGAGTTCAGTTCTTTCACTAGATAAATAACTTGACCGTTTCACATCTCATTTTCTTTGTCTGGAAAGTCAGCATTTCCAGGTGTTGTTACTAAACAGTTATATTAAACGTTAAAGGAGATGGAGGGGAAAATTATGCTTATATTTTCCGGAATAGGCACATGTTCAGAAAAACGTGTGTGTGCGTGTGCATGTTTTAATGCCATAACATACAACAGAAAAGAGGCATGCTTCTGAAGAGAAATCTCTTGGGTGATTTGTTCTGAACATTTCAGGGTAGAAAAAAAAAATCTAAGCCCAAGAGTGAGATCATACAAACTATAGCACAAAATACACACATGTAAAATTTCACAGTTTCCCTCTGTGCCTACTATTACCAGGAGAGGTTCAGTTTAGGGGTCTGTAAAAATGTTTTCTTCCTTTAAGTATAACACTCTGAGCCAAGACATCATCAGTTCCAGGCTCAGTCAGCTTCAGCCGAAAGTGTGAATGTTCAGCAAGAGGATATTTTTGAAAGGAGACTGAAAATCCGCTGTGCCAGGTACCTGAAACGTTGTTAGGGTATTCGGTGGAAAATTTCATTTCCCCATTATAAATAACTGTAGGATATTTTAAGGATCCAAGACTAGTAACTTCCAAGAGTTGCTTATATTAGCTCCACTGAAATGTGAAATGGAGGGAGGATGTCCAAGGATGGCTATAAAGCTGAATTACCGGATATGATTAATTAAAATAAATAATTCACCATTGATTAAATAGGCCTTAAAATCCCCAGTCAAAGCACCCAAACATTGAGGCCTGCATATTTTGCTATCCACCAAGTAAAACAAAGAACGGACAAAACAGCAATGGAGAAAGAAAGAGGAAGGAAAAGCCCCCATGATGGTTACTTAAGTTCAACTGCCCTAGAAGTTCTTATTCAAAAAAGCCCGTCGGGTCGCCCATATTTGAAATATTGACTGTTACTGAGCAACACATTTTCTGGTAGTTCCCGGTTCTGTGGATTTCCAGGGAGGACAACTCCAAAGAAGGCGGCATAACACCGACTATGGTAGTTACCGAATTTTTATCTCCCTTTGACCACAGAAATAATCAGCTTCCGGTAACTTCTCTCCTCCTTTGCAGCCCCTACACGTTCAAAAACGCAACAAAAAAAGTCAGAGATCTTTGATAGACTGAGGTGCAATGCGCCCGAAATAAAATTGTCTCGTTAAAAGGCAAAAAAAAAAAAAAAAAAAAAAAAAGCCTTGTGTGTGAGTTGTGTATGTGTATTTATGTGTCAGTGTGGTGATGTGTGAGGCATGTGTGCTCCGGTGCATGTGACTAAGTGGGGGGGCGGGGGTGTAAGGTAGGAAACTAACGCAGGCAGTCTGGTCTCTCTTTTTTTTTTTTTTGGAAGGGTAAGCCTGGCTTCCCTTGGCTGGTCGGCCGCGTGAGGTTGGGAAGACGCGACCCTGGCGCGCGCCGGCAGCGCGGCAGTGCCCGGGGTTAGAGCTCTCCCCTGTGACCGAAAAGATGATTAAAAATCACAGGCGCAGGAGACAGCTCCGTTTCTCGCTGCGCATCAAGTCCGTCGGGATAAGTGGGTCCTCCTCGCATGCCGGGGGCGCCCGGGCTCCGAGGCCAGTGGACCGCGGCGAGGAGTAGGTTGGGCAGGGGGTGTCCCAGCGGCTGATGCAGAATGAGTCACCCAGGGTGGCAGGCGGCCGTGGGAAGGCCGAGGAGGCGGGAGGGGCGCGGCGAGGAGGCTCGCGTCTGCGGGGGTATTTCTGGGGAGAGGCGGGAACGTGGGGGAGAAAACTGGGGAAGGGAAAGCCGGACGAGGGACGCGTGGAGTTGTGGATGGGGAAAGGGAAGGTAAAACTAAAGCCCCAAAGAGGAAAGAGCAGTGTCCCCTGGACCGCATCCTTACCCCCACGAGGGCGCTCGCCGAGCCACCCCGCCCCACCTCCGCTCGCACGGCTGGAGGCCCCTCAGTCGAGGGAGCATCTATTTAGAGAGCAATCCTGGTCCCCAAGCCACTCAACTACAGCTCTCCAAGTTCATCTTGCGGTTGAAATAGGCTCCAGAGACCTTGACAGACACCAGGTCCCCTCTTCCGCGCCCCCCACGCTCTCCAGGCCCCTTCAAAGGCGCAGACCCCCAAGTGCCCGCTGGGCTAGTGGAAGCGACGCTTTAAAAAGCGGGAGAGTCGTGGCAGGTCGCTACCGGCGTGAGAGAGGCGTTTGCGCTGAGCAATAAAAATGCGAATTAATGGGTACGTGGATTGATTTAAGTAAGATGGGGGGGGCGATGAGCGATGACTCAACTATGTTTCTTCCTGAATACTCCGAAGAGGAGGCACTGTAACTTCATTTCTTTTATAAAATCACTTATTACTGTCTAGTGTCAGCTACGCTGTTAGGAATCTTTGAAACTTTGGCAACTGATGATTCTTTTTGCAGACAAGTTTTCAAGCTTTGCGAGGTTTAAAGGAGATTGACAGCAAGGAACGTAGCAGTACACTACGAGGAGGGGAAAAGGCCCGGTGCCCCCTTCTTAGGGGTGCAATAGCCTCAAGCGGATTTCCCGGCTTCTGCGGGCGCCCCACATTGTTTTGTTTTGAAGGCTCAGAGTTTGAGGCTGGTCGGAGACACCCACGTGCTTCTGACTCTCATCAGTGTAATGATCGCCTTAGCCAGAGTCGTGTCTATATAAACCACAAAAACCTAATCATTAGAAATCCCAGCCTCCAAAAACCACATTTTAGGTAAAACTGCCGTTTTTTTCTGCGCTCCTTCATCCTCTCGACCACAACTTTTTTGGGGATCCAAAGTCGCTTTTTAAACCCACATTGGGAAATAAATACATAAATAAATAGCCATTGAAGCATTTTGAATATTTTATTTTGTAGTTTTATTTTTTTCCCCGGGAGTGGTGGGGGAGAAAGTTAACACATTAGACCTAGTTTTAGATGCAAAATAGACAATAAAAGATTGAGATTCATGGAAAACTGGTGGGGTTTTTCCCCCAGCGAGGGTTTTTGCAACTTACTTTAATCATCAAGCTGACAGTTTTCCAGTCCTTAAAAAACTCACCCTTGTTCTCTAGGAACGACAAGTCTGAATATAGAAGAAAAAAGTGTCCAGCCACCCACTTGAGTTTCTAAAAAGTATTTTGACAAGTGTCCCCTCCATCCCAATTTTTTGTGTCACTTAAGTAAAAAACAAAAACAAAACAAAACAAAAAAAACCCACCCAAACCCTGCAAAATCCTTTTTTCCCTCGGGAGCCGCTCCGGCAGAGGTGGAGGGGGGGGGGTAGGGTGGGGGAAGGGTGAAGAGAGCTGAGAAGTCAGTACAGACGCTCAAGAATTTTCCTTCCTCCTCTCCTGAAGTTACAACGAAAAATAACGACAGTCTGATCAGCCGGCGGCTCTCTGGCGTCTCAGCTTCAACCTCCTCTGACCAAGAGGGGGTTCCTTGTCTTGGGGGGAGGAGGCGAGAAGCAAGAGGACGCGACCAGGCGAGATCCCCGTAGACCGGGGCCGCCTCTCTCGGCTTCCGAAGCTGCGCGCAGCGCCCCGGGGGCTCCTTCTCGCGGCCGGCGGGCGGCGGCAGCGGCTGCGATTCGCAGGCTCGAGATCCGTTGCCCCGAGATCCGCTGCCCCCGACTTACCTCCTGGCACCTCGAAGCACGAGGGTCAGGGGTGCTTTGCAAAGAGCAGGAGAGAGTGGATGCGAGGAGGTGGCGGTGAGAGGGCGAGAAGAGGAGAAGGGAAAGGAAGGAGCCGAGCCGGGGAGCCGGGCTGGCAGCCGCCGCGGGAGGAATCTGAGTGTGCAGC